TAGTGTACATATACTCTGGAAGCAAATATTTCTTAAAGGAACATTTATAATATAACTGCCTCACTGTATTTTTTCTTATTTTTAAAAAATATTTTACCATTAAGCATTTATAACTGTGTTAATTGTATGTATAAAATTATAATTTTCTCATCTACAAAATGAGGATAATACAACCAAGGACACAGGTATGCTGTATTCAATGAGATAAGTGAATGTGTACTGTGAATGCCATTGGGATATAACCTGAGCCGGGCACTGTTAGACATTCTAGGAGAGAGGAAGATGACCAGGTTCTCATCTCTCTCAGAGTGAGAGTGACAAATATGTGTTATAGCAACTGGACTTCAAGGCAAGGCGACTCAGACACTGCAGTGAGCTACGAGATTTAACTGATGTGAGAAAAGTGGAAAAGCATGATCGTTTCCACCTGGGCAGTCACATTTGAACAGAATGTCAATGGACGAGGGCATAGGGATGGATGGGCAGACAGGCATTTTAGATTGTGGATTGAAGGAAATGTATGAATGAAAGTAGGAAAGTTTACAATATATATTTGAGTTTCTTTTGGTTTAAATATTCATGGATTTTAGTAAATGACAACTGGCTCATGTTGCCTCATGGTACCTCAGTGGAGCATCTGCCAGCCAAGCAGTGCCTTGCCTATGGGGACTGGTCATACTCCTCTTTGTACATCCAGAGTGCAGCTCAGAACCTGGCAAAGGCAGGGGCCCCAAGTGGTGAGTAGATGAATGCAACATTTAGAACGTGGTGTTTCACTTTCTTATTTTTTAGTTCAAAATACAGTACAGAGGATGTGTTTGAATTTCTAGATCTTTATCACATACTTACAGATAGATTTGCTGATAGTTGTGCATTGCGGTTGTGTGAGTGTTAGGTTTTTATTCTCCCGTGAAGAGCTGATCTGAAGCCATGGAGCTTTATTTACCTGCTGCTGCTGAGGGCTGGCTCTTACTCCACCTCCCAGGGACCGTTACATTCCTGCAACACAGCTTCCCGTGGAGCTCCATTCCATGAAGGGTATAGCTGGCTCCACTCCTTCCTTCAGAAAAAAAATGACACCTTCCCTGCCAACTATTGGCTACCTGGAATGGAACATTATTTTGCAGGGGAGGGAGCACAATGGAAAATGGGTATACCTACAGGAAATCTAATTGCTCTGCAGTGAAGCATGTGAAAAATGGAAAGAAAGGAAGCAGCTTACGAATTAGAATTTCATTTTGTGTGCGATTTCCTTTTTAGGCCCCCCCCCCTCCCCTAGCTCTGTTATATTATCAGTAAGTTTTAATGTTTTATTTCCTGTCTACCTGGTAATTTGCTTTTATATTAGTGGTGTTTTGGATCCACTATGAATACCATGAACAGATTCATGGGAAAAGAACAAGGAGAAAAACCAGGTTTATTTCTTTGTTCTCATCATTTTGAGAAAGGAAGTCAGGAAAAGCTGTTTTCTATGCATACTCCTTTCACCCTCCACCCATGATTAATGATTTTTGTTAGTGGACTAATTAAACCATTGATTTTACCATTAGAATAGGAAATATGACCCATTCTTGTCTTGAATGACTTTTTTTTTCCTGTGAATAATACAATTTTTACAGTAGGGAACATTTGCAAAAACTTACTAACTTCAAAGTCAAATATATTATGTCCTCCATGAGAACACAAAGGGTTAAATTTAAAGGCCAACCAGTTAGCACAGCTCATAGACTTGGATGAAAAGAGGAAAGGGTGGGGGCAGTAGTTTTCCTTGTAGGCTTTTATTTGGTACCTTGCGGGCCTCTTCCCCTGTCCTCATCACTAGCTTCTTTCACACACCTCTGAAGTTTGGTCAGAGCTGTGCAGGCCACGCTGGACTTTTAATTGTATAGCAGCAGGAGCTGTTTCTATTCAGATACATTTTGATGTGGCTTAAAAAGCAATTTAATAAGTAGTATTTATACCATGTCTGAGATTCACAAGGCTTCTGAGATTTATGGATATGTTAAGGCTCAAGGTTCCAGTGGGAATTAGGAATGGTGTGAAACTTAGAACTATAGGGAGAGGGTTTGAGCAAGGCTCTGGGATGAAAGGACTAACAATATTTTGTGGCAAATATCTACACTAATAAAAGAGAAACATGGTAATTAGCGTACGACCGCTACCCTTCCCATTGGCTAATCAGCATATCCTTATGCAAATTAACTGTCAGCCAAGATGGTGGCCGGCAGCCATGCACTGAAGCAAACAGG